ATTTCCAGGGATTTCTCAATCAGCACTGCTCTTTGATTTATCTTTCTTCCAGTACCCAAACATGATTTCACATCACCCTTCAGTTTTCATCTCCAACATCCCGTGGTAATCCCTGAAAATAGTGCTCTTGGTGGCTTTCTTTAAATATTGCACAGACCCTACTGTATGCATTAAATAGTGATCCACTATTTTTTTCTTTTTTTTTTTTTTTTTTTTTTTTTTGTTTTGGTACCAGGCATCAAACTCAGGACCTTGTGCTTGCCAGGCAGTTGCTTAAGCTGCTGAGCTATCTTCCCAGCCCACCCACCAATGTTATTATTCATTTTCAACTGTAGAATATTGCCAGAGAAAAGCAGATGTCGAATCTAACTGTTCTTTTGGAAAGGCTAAATGAAAGCTCTTATTATAAAGGCTCAAACTTTAATGGGAGTTTTGCTTAACATTTTCTCAGCAATTCCTTATATTTTCAAGAACCAGGAAAACCACAGTTCATTTAGTCAAATAGTGCAGTTGTTGATTTTTATGTTTTGATATATGACAGTGGATCGATCCATTCCTTTTCACAAAATTATTAAATCATCCCTGATCTTCTAAGGACTGCTATTAGGAAAAAAATATTAGAAATGATTAATGGCCCATTCTAGGAATTAGTTAGGCCTGCTTAGGCAGACACAGGGGCCGGGGGTCTGATCCCCAGGCCTGCCCCAAGGTGCACTGAGACTGTGATTGAGACTGGGCGTGGTGGCACACACCTGTAATCCCAGCACTTGGGAGGCTGTAGACAGGAGGATCACTATGAGTCCGATCTATGCAGTGAGACCCTGTATACTCTGTCCTAAATACAAAAAAAAAAAAAAAGAAAGAAAAAAGGAATTAATTAGGAAATGCTGCTTCCCACATTAAGACACAGTAAGTGCTTGTCCATACCCTTGCTTTCCCTGAACTCAGCTGCCAACCCATCAATGTGTCATGGCTGGAAAGAGACCTTGAATTTCAGAAAGACGAATGTGTAAGCTCATGAAGCTCTAGAGCATGCCAAGAATAGCTCCACACGAAAACAAAGGTCTGCCCACCCTGACAAGCCTAAAAAGGAATACGGCACAAACCTCTCAAAGATCTAACTGCAAACTCCCCAAAATAAAAGGCTTGATGCTCCATTCTGCCAGTAACTCAAGGGATGTAAAGATACTGAATGTCCAAAGAATTAACGTATTTTAAAATTCTGTCCATCAGTTTGTGTCAGGTGCTGGTAGTGGCTCCTGAGAAACAAAAATTCCCTGCAAGGAAATCCTTGACCCTACTTTGCGCCTCCCTCTATTTAGGCTACAGTTCTTTTGACTTCCAAAGGGAAAGAGGCTTTTAGAGGAACTTGGTTTCCAAAAATTTGAGGCAAGCACCAGAAAGATCAACCCAAGCAAATTCACATTATTTGGAAACATGCAACAGCATATTTGCATAGCCATAAATAGCAACTCTCTACAATTTAGAAAGACACATGTTCTTGACAGTCACCAGGAACAGGTGGCAAGTGATGAGTTTGATGGCAATGTGCTCCCCTTGGGAGGATAACTTCATATCGAAGGCTCTGGAATTCAGGTTTTGTTTGCTAGATCAAGAGAAAACACTGTTTTATGTAAATTACCAGATCAAGCACGTCCAAGTGCCTTAAAGAGTCCCCAACTGTCATCCAGGGCATTTACCTGCTCATGCAGCCGGAAAATAAATTTCTGAAAAGGAAAGAGATTATAACTTTAATCTGTCCTCTATTCTAGAAGACAAAGGAGAAAACTTATTAGATCCCTGGCCAACGGTCATTTGCATAAGGCTCTGCACATCTCAGGAGGTGCAATATGAACAGAGGTGAGACCAGTTATACAGCTGCTCTGGTTCCAGGGAGAAGCAAGAAATCTTCCACCAGAGACTTTGGCACCTGGAAAAATCAACCATGGCTGGAAACCTAGGAACAGTCACAAGGAGCCATCCTGCAGAGGCCCCTGGGAATAGAAATTTACAGATGATCTGAGAGGAGTACTCCTCTGACTTCAGGAACAGTGTTTGAAGGGTCTGAAAAAGACTCAATCACAGTGAGAAGGAGGCATTCCAAGGCTACTGATCCCCAACTTTCTTACTTCCTGAAAAAAAAAAAAAAAAAAAAGGATAGATAAATCTACCAGATGAATGAATTCCAAGATATGAAGAACTATATCTGTCTTGTACTTCTGAGGTGAGTTTGGTTTCTGAAATTCCCAAATCTTACTAGTTCAGGGAACCAGGAAACTAAATTATTAATGCCGGCTTCATGATTCTTCTTGTATGTGAATCACACCAAAGAGAGAAATGAAAAAGCTAAGAGCCAAGCATACAGCTAACGACCAAGAGAATGTGACTTCTTATTTCCCAGTTGAAGAAGTTTTCTTGGTGATAGCGTAGAAACAGAAGAATTAAATACTCAGTTTATCTGCAAATAATGGTTCAGCCGTCTTCCAGAACAAGGAATACTTATCTGAAGAAGTTAACAGGCAACATTGAGGGAAGAAAAGAGTCCCTGTCCCTCCTAAACTCATTTTCCAACATCCATCCTCCTAATCTCTCTTGAACAGCAACTAAACTAAATACTCAGTAAATGGAAAAATTCTACTCAGCATTAACTGATTGGATTTTGTTGACCTAAGACAGACACTGGCCAACTATGGCCTCTGGCCAAATCTGGCCTACTAAACAGTCTTGCAGATAAAGTTTGTTTGGAACACAGCCATGTTCATTCATTTGCAAATTATTTATCCTTGAATTCACAATACAATGGCACAAGTTGCAACAAAACACTAACTAAAACACAAAGCCAAAAATATTTACTGTTTGGCCCTTTACGGAAGTTTGTCAACTCTGGTCTAGGATTCACCATCTGTATGCTAGAGACCGGAGTTATCTGTCTGAGAGGGTTTATATACACAACACCCTTGCAATGAAGAGATGTTTGCAAATTATGTGTTTTCTGTATGATGCACACCTTCCTAGGAGAGAGTCCTCGCTTTCAACACATTTCTGAAGGAATCCAGAGCACCTCAATGAAAGCCAAAGAAAACCAAAGAATATGTTTAGCTGTAAGCACTTTTAACAGTGTTAGAACATACACACACCCCTAGAAAAGACAAACTGAAAAACTTTTAGAACATCAATTTTCTATTCATCCAGTTTGGTAGCTTCCTCTTCCTAGATTTCACACTGGCATTTTTCCTTCTAAATATGGAATTGTTCAGAGTCTAAATGACTCCTGTACCTTTCATTTGAAAATGAGGGGGAGGCCCCATGAAGGTGAAATTTATTTCAGTATCTCTCACTTGCTAATTCCATAAAAGTGAAGAATCCTTGAAGCCAGCAAAGTCACGTTAAGAAAGCAAAAATCGCAGCATAATGGAAGCTTAATTCATTTTCTAGATCTAAATATCAGCTCTGATGAATTTTATGAATACATAAGTCTTATCAATAAGAACAGAGAGAAAGAGTTTCATAGCCAGAAGCAGAGCATTTGAGAGAGAGATTAGGAACTAGGTATCCCTGGTACTTTCAGGCCAAATACAAAGTGTTTTTGTTGGACACTTGAGTGAACCAGAATCCTTTCTCTGAGCACAGGGAACGAAATCCCTGGTTAGTGTTAAACTATAAAACATCAGGCCCTTTCTTCCTCCTTTGTAATTATAGTACAAAGACACTAAATCAAGTTCACTTGGAGCCATCAGGCATCCTATTGGATCTGCACTGACCTCCTCTAGCACTGGGTCTTGTAAGTGTTGCATTTTCTATATTATGACAATTATAAAATAATTGTGAAGAATAAATGTGTGGTGAGGAATACGTCGTAAAGAATAAAAGAGAATGGGAGGATATCTTCACAAAATGAATTAGCCAGGGGAAGGCAAAGACAATCCCAACGATGACAACAAAACACAGGGAGAAACCATAGAGAGGGTTGAGCAACAAAAAGTTCAATTTTGAAGGTGACTAAGTATAGAGTTCACAGAGCACAGCATGTGTCTATAGTCCCCAAACTATGCGTATGGAGACATGCTAAGAAGTCACTGTGAATGTCCAGGCACTGGACGATGCTGCACATTTGTAAGGGAAGCACCATGACAGCCGAAGAGCATGTTGGGAAACACTACTATTAAACTCTTTGATCCTAAGTCCTTGATACTCTGAACTCTTAACTATTTTGGCCTTGGGCACTGTGAAAAAAATTACTAAGACAACAAATGGCACCATAAGCAGAGAAAGTCTGGGAACTTCTTTCATATACTGGATAATTTTTGTTAGGTCTGGAGGATGTATAAAGACTAAAATGCAAACAATTTTGAGCTACACCACATCTCTTGATTCCATTTTACACAGCCTAACCAAGATAAAAGCTGCTTATTTAACCAATTATTCTGATTTTTTCAGAGTGGTCAAACAGTCTTTGAAATAATAGACTATTCCTCCATCCATTATTCCTTCTTGTCATGGCTCATAGATGGGTACCTTGTATAAAATGCATGGCTATATTGATAATTTTTCAATGTGTACACCTATATGACTTTTTTTTTCTCCCTCAAAGTAGTCATTTGGGGAAAGGAAATGAAGTTGTCTTGGCTTAAAACATGTATCCACCATTGAATCTTCTTGAGTATACACAATTAAAAATTATCTCCTGAGCCCATGACATATTTTACAGAAATTTGGTGATGGTAAAATTTCAACTCTCATGGTAAATTCAATTTGTAGAAACTGCCAAACACAATTTCCTGCTGAATTTGTTAAACCAGGCAGGTGAGTCAAGATAGGCAAACTAGTAAAGACGTCTTTGTAGGCCAGGGATATAACTCAGTGGCTTAAGCATCTGTCTGGAAATCGCAAGGTCCCAGTTCAACCCCCGGTACCACAAAAAATTTTTTTTAAAAAAATGACTTCTACTAGAAGCAAAACACCAAAAAAATGAAACAAACAAAAACTAGAGAGACATTCTAAGATGATGATACAGGTAGGGGAGAGAATGGGCTCCTGAAAGAGAAGTGGCAAAAATGTTTTAGTGAAAGCATTTCTATAAATATAGAGCTTCTTTAGGTAACTTCTCTCAAGAGTGACACTCATCGATACATCCACACAGACAATAACTGTCTTCAGAATCCTTCCCATTGGCTTCTTGGCACATCTCTTACATCAATAATACATAGAGAGCGAGGTGGATTATTTGTATGAATATAAAGAAAATTTCTACCATGGACAATTAGATGATACCAAATCAAATACACTGGGAAAGACAAGCATGATGTCTGAAGTAGAGCTCCACTGATTTCATAATACATTGACAGAGCCAGGGCTGATACTACGATGGTCCAAGGTGGCAGAGAAACACTTCATCATCATTCCTGAATACAGGTATCTTTTTCTTTATATATACATATCTGTCTGTATGTACAGGAAAATCTCAACTTAAACACAATTTATGGGTCCTGGTTTTTTAAGTTCATGACAGAGTAACACAGTTCTCTAGAAACAAAACCATGTTCTAAAAATTTAGATTTCTAAAGCTATCAAGCTATTACATCTTAGTACATAAGATACTTAGTCATCAAATAGAATATTGTTTCTCTATGGGAAAGGTATTTCAATTTTCCCATCAGTAATACCAAGAACATACCCTCCCTGATAGTGATAAAGATAATCCAAAAGAAATAGGAGCTCTTGTTCTTCCACAATCACTTATTGTTCTCTGAAAACATTTAAGAGAAAGTAATTTCCAGTCAACTCTCTTCTTAAAAAGTCCCACACAGTGTTCTCCCTTCATAATCATATGAGGATTGTTCAATACCAAAAAGAAGTACCCGTTCCCTGGCCCCAGCCTGGATTAATTAGAGGAAAGTCTCCAGGTCTTAAAGCTTTGATGCTGACATTGTTCATAAGCTTCTAGATGCTTCCAAATACACCCACCAGTGTTGAGAACTTTACACCAACTTCTCCCTCATTATAACTGTTCAGCAAACGTCAGCCCCAGACTCTCCAAGTCCAACTCTAACTCTCTAACCAAGTGGGTTTTAGGTTTACCAACAGGAAATACACTCTTCCTGAAGAATGTTGCAAAGCACAAAACAGGTAGGAGTAGAATCTTTCTGACTCAGAACAGAGAGATTATTTACTTTAATGGTTTATCAGATTTGCAGTGGATTGGCCCTACATTTTTCTCCCAATACTTTCTGTTATCAGAAAATGAATAAGTAGAGCAGGAACAAAGCTATGACCTTTCCTTATTTCAAGGAGTGGAACCTCCAGATGTAGGAAAGTGGGGGAGAAACTGCACGGCTGTGATTGCGAGGTTAAGACCCATGCTCTGGCTAGAAGAAAATGAACACAGAATGTGAAGCTGCTATTTAATTAAATGGATATTTGCTGGACCAAAATGTGAAGAAGTATCATGCTCATTCTGGGTAACACGAGCAAGATGTCAAGAACAAGACAAAAGGAAACACAGAGAAAAATAGACCGCTGCATTTCAAAATCTAAGAGGGGAAGGAAGGGAAGACTCAGGGGAACAACCCTCTCCACACTGGAGAACTGGAGGCAAACAAAAAAAATAGTGTGGCTTTTTTTTTTTTTTTTTTCTAAATAGACACCCTCCCTCTGTGTACTCCCAATGTAGCCCTGGTAAACACTATGTCCAAAAACAATGGTTCCTGGTTATTTAGGATAGGTCTCTATTTTCTCTATCAATCATTTTACTCCTTGATCCTAAAAGAAGAAAAGTCAGAGAACCTGTCGTTGTTTTTAGCTATAAGAAAAAAATTTGGTTATATAGTCAACCTGCTAGGAGTTCAGCATGGAACTTGCTACCATATGTTATTGAGGAAAGATAGAACATAAACTCATCCTGTAGAAAGCTGGCAACCCATTCTCAGGCGTCAATTCAACCTTCCCCTTTATCATTTCATATGGCCAAAGAATTACTAGCTGGCTTGAGTTTTCTCCTCTTCCAATAATAGTAAGGCTTCTTCATTGAATAAGAGTACAAAGTAAAGGAGTATATCAATTACAAAGATAATCCTTGGGACTTGCCCAGTGCGGGAAGGACAGAAGCAGAAGGCACCGATTCTCTCTGTGGTTTGCCATGTCTCCCCTTATGTTGGACAAATGTCCTTTTTACTAAATATAGATATTCACAAAAACCAGTTAGCAGAACTCAGTTTAATACACACATACACACACACACACACACACACACACACACACACACACACACGTTGGTATATAGGTAGATATAAAATCACATCACGAATCACTTCCCACTAATTCTATATCACAAAGGTCAAGAGAACCAAAATCTTTACTCTTGGAACGGTGATAAAAATGATTTGCATGTTTTCCAAAGTGGGGAAAGGAGTAGAAGCAAGATGCTTTGACACTTCACTTAAAACACACGGTGATCAGCCAGGACTTAGTTGGGGAGTATGGTGGCAGCCACAACCAGAAAAGATGTTTCACTAGAAGAGCTCCTTTTTTTTTTTTTTTTTTTTTTGAGATTTTTATAATATTCTTAAAGATGCATATTAAATTATTTTTTCTGAAACACAGAAACGATTGAACTTAAAAAATAAAAGCCCTATAAATATCGCCAACCCACCCCTCTTCTGTATCTCCCTTCTTGCATAAAGTGGAATCTTTCCAACCAAGCGCTTAAACATAAATATTAAAATAATAAATGGGACAAACTACAAATCTACTTACAATTTCATCACTACTGTAGCACCTTTTTGCCAGGGCCAATTCATTCATTTCGTAAAGAACAAGAGAAATCTGAGAAGCTTAAGGACTTATATGGCACATCATTAAATATTTAATCACCTTTTTAAGTCCTAAGCCTTTTATCATATTTCATCCATCTAGAAAGTTCATCCTATACTATAGATTCCAAGGCCCCCTTAGGAGGGGGATAAGAAAAAAATAAGGAGAGAAAACCCTCAGAGAGGGTTAAATTATCTCAAAGATGATTTTCTATTGGCGCTGTAGTGAACTTGCTCCGCCCTGTAAATCCTTCCATCCACAGTAGGGTCAATCAGTTAAGTCCACTGGTTTTCAGTCTCCAAGAATCAGTTTTACAAAAGATGCCACATCTGTTGCTTTGGATTCATGTACGGTGAAAAATGGATGTTGCTGTGAAAAAAGAGAAACACACATGGCATTAAAAGCTGTCACTGATAAAATCTGAGAACCCCAAATAAATACATCATTTAAAATGGATTAATTTCTCCATCAGCAGCAAGATACATTCCTCTTACTCTTCCAAAACATGCACATAACTAGTCGTATTTTAAAGATATCTTGCTGCCACTCTTATCCTTTTGAAAACCCTAGATTTCTACTCGAAAGAATCTCTTGCTTAAAGAAAAAGTAAATATGTTATGTAAATCCTATCTGCAGTAAAGTACAAAGACTGGCAAAGACCATGCGAAGCTTTGGCATGCCCTACAAGGCCTTTTAGATTAATATAGGCGTAAAATAATTAGAAATTCGTTAGATTTAGGTCATTTCATTTCTCAGGGAAAGCGTGGTAGAGTAGGATTCCAAGTGGTTTGAATAGTAAATGTATAGGAAAGCCCTCCTTGCCCTTGACATTGGACAGCTTGTTCGGAGTGAAACATTGAAAGCCGTTTTCTAAGCCACAGCCAAGAGCTATGCGCATCTTGAGGAAGAGCTGATCCTTCTGGAAAACAACACAGCCTTCCAAAGTGCAGGTACGTGCAGAAAAAGTGCAACCCAGAGATCAAAGATTGCAAAAGGGAAAACTGGTCTTTCTACAGACAGCTCAGATGAAATGAACTTTACAAAGAAAGGAAACAAGGGTCTTGCACTTTGCTGGGGGCAGAGGCAAGAAGACATGATGTAAGAGGTCACATATTTCAAAGAACAATTCAGAAGAACACTAAGCCACGTTCTCAGCACTGAAACAGTCTGCCTAAATCATTCAACTATGTTGTAATGAGTACCAAGCTGTTTGACTGGAGCCTTCCACCCCCAACTGGAAAGAGACATCGGGCCAAGATCCACACTTCTCCTACCAATCCAGAACCAGTCAAACACAAATGGGTGACTCCCTCAACTAGAACCTGACGCCACGGACTCCCCTCACCTACCATGCCGTGCCCCTCATTGTCTGTCTGGCAGCACTGTTTTCAATGGTGAGTCGAGCAGTTAGATGTGGGCATTTTGCATGCAGACATGCAGGTGACTCACTCTGTTTCCCTGGCTTAAGGGATTTAGTTTACAGGCTCATGTCGCCTCGTGGTAGGTTTTCTAATTATATTTGTTTTAAACCTGACAATAGAGGGCTGGGTGAGTCAGCTCTGTGGGGATATGAATGCCCACCCGTAGAAGTTTTAAGAAACAATACAATACAGATGGGACAGAGAAATCAAACCCAAAAGAAAGGAGGCCATCACTTGGAAGGGCCACGACTGAAGAAACGGAGAGGAAGGCGTCTGCTTTTTCCTATCTGAGGACACAGGTTGGGGGCTTGCTCAGAGCCTTTCATACGGGACTTTCACTGGATTTCCAGAGGCAAAGTCCCCTATCCTGAGCTCTTTCTCTTACCAAACAATAACACTACTTTTGATTACTAACCATTTACACAGCACGCTTAGGAAGGGTTTTACCATCAGAGTTATTAAGCTTTCCCACATCATCTTGGAATTGGGAATCCTTTAATGTACTTAAAAGCTGTTTACTATCAAAGCAGTACACACCAAACCTCAGGTCATCTCTGAGGCCGCATGCCTTCCAGCCCTGCCTTACCGCTTGTCCTGCCACCGTTAGCTCAGCAGACAGAGGCTGAGTTTACGCATGAATTAAATAACTGGAAGTGAAGTTTTCCATTAAAAGAATCTCAAAGTACCTTTTAGTTATTCCTAGGCTGGGAATATGGAATGAGAACGAGAAGTCTGGGGAGGAAAAGGCAGGCAGGCAAGTCAAAATGGAAGATGTGATTTACCTTCTCCCATAAGTCTTGCAGCTGCAAAAGGCCGAAATGGAACCCAGCTCCCTGTCTCAGCTGTGGATAATAACAACCAGGACAGCAACTTGGGGAAGATTAAGTGAGATGCCTTGAATAGTCGCCAGCCCAGAATGCTCGGCTTCCCAGAGAGGAGTTGGGTACAAGAAAGCAGAACTGCACCGCGGGTGGACTGCACTGCACCCTGCCGATTCGCTGTCAGGCCTGAAGGAAGCGCGGAGATGCATGGACGTTCTCCCAGAGGAGAGGGCCACGCTGAAAACGCCAGCAGGTCTTCGTGGCCCATCTGTGACCCCTCAGACCTTGACGTTGCAGTTACTGTTAAGCTCAGGCACCTTGTTTCACACCGCAATTCAATCTGTAACTTTCTAAGATACTTGAAGAGCATTATCAAATCACCTGGAAATCACTTAAATGAGCTGACTGTCACTTCTGGCAGTTGTCACATAGAAGAGAGGCCCACAGGCCGTGTCTAGCCCACTGCCCACTGCCTGATATTTCAGTACACTTTTATGGAACACAGCCACATGGCCATGTAGCCAGTATGACTACTTTCCCTTCACGAAAAGAGCAGTGTGCACAGTGGTAACCACAACTGCATGGGCACAAAGCCTGAAATACAATCTAGATGTTTTGGTAAAAGTTGGCTAATACCTATTCCAGAAGAACAAATCTGACAGAATCACTCTTACCTGAAGAATTTTTAGAGAACAAGCAAAGAAGACCATCCTAAGCACTCATGTCCTTCAATCCAAGGGAGAGAAAACATTCTCTGGGATTTCTAGAAGAGCTACCTGTCTGAGATGGAGCCTTAATTGTACTGCACTTCATCAGAAAGAAAAGAATTGTTTTCCTTCCTACCTTTTGGAAAACTTCTAAAATTTAAACAATAGCTTCTCGGCACATGTTTGCCAATATTGAATTTAGGATGTTTGAGCTCATATTTTCATTAGAGAATCTCAATGCTCAGGGAAACAGGGAATACTTAGGATCTTAAAAGGCAGGCCCATTTTCAGTACTACAAAGACTAACACCATCAGAGAGAGAAGGGAAAGCCCACACAGTCTTGATTTTATAGGATTAACATATACGATGATAGCGTTTTTTTCTGGGATGAGATGAAATCTCAGTGTTGTTTAATTTGCATTTCTTTCTTGAATGACCAGAGATGTTGAAAAATTTTTCATATATTTCCTTGCCATTTATATTTCTTTATCTGAGAAGTATATATTCATCTCAGATGCCCATTTCTGGATTAGGTCTTTGAGTTTTAGGGCCTGATTCTTTTCAATTTTCATATGTTCTAGAGAGAGCATTTATATGTCCCTTTATCTGAGGGACACTTGATTTAAAACTTTTACCCAGTTCATTTTTTTTAATTTCTTTTGCTATCTAAAAACTTTTTATTAAGATGAGATCCCAGGTGTTAATTCTTTAAAGTATTTCCTGTGTAGTTTGGATTTTGTTCATGAGCTCTCTGCCCACCCCACTTCTTCAAGATTTCTACCTACTCTTTACTCCAGTAGATTTAGTGTTCATGTTTTAATATTTAGATCTTTGATCCATTTTGACTTTAATTTAGTTCATGATGACAGACAAGAGGGTAGTTTTAGCCTTTGGCATGTGGAAAGCCAGTTTTTCTAGTGCCATTCATGAGAAATGCTGTCTTTTTTGTAATAGATAAATTTTGAAGCAACATAAGTGTCCATCAATCAAGGAACGGATAATGAAAATAACAATATGCAGTGTATAACCATCGCTGTCAATGTCCTCTCATCTTGAGTTGAAATTCTGTATCATCTTATTGGGATTTTCTTTTATTCTCTTTAAACTAAATGTTTTTTAAAAGATACATTATTTTCATGCAATGCATAAAAATCTTTCTTTATAAGCTATAAAGAAAGATAAACTTCAGGATTTTACAAGTAAATAGATTCAAATAGAGACCAGACTCATGAAACAAATCAGACTTTCATATGTAAACATACTATCTCCCTAATGTAAGAAACTAAAAGAGTAAGTAGACTCTAAAAGATGCAAAACATATCGTGAAAGGGAAAGAAACTGCTCAAAAGGAAAGAACAATTAGGACAGGGGAAGGAGAAAAGGAGGAGGGGAAAAATATATGTATATACACACACAAGATAGCTAAGATAATGGTACTACTAATTTCTATTAATTCATTGAAAGGAACAATTAGTGCTGATGTTGTCTGATCAATTTTGTATGCCTGCTATATCTGCTTATCTGACCAGCTACTTTGAGATAACAATAAGCACTATAATAGCCATTGTTAATTTTCTACCATCTTATTTTGAAATTCTGTATTGTTTTGATTGTTTTTTCTTCTTTAAAACAACATATATATATATATATATATATATATATATATCAAAAAAATCAGAATGCTAGACTATAATAGAAATAGTCTCCAATGCATATTTTTTTTTCCGTCAAGTGTGTTGTAGTGAAATTTCTGATGAGATCCCTTGAAACAAAAAAAAATTTGCATTTTTATTGTTATTTATTTTATTTTTTTATGTATTTAGTACAGGGTATACAGGGTCTCACTACACTAGTAATGAGACTAGTATAGTGACTAATCAGACTCTAATGATCCTCCTGTTTTCAGCCTCCCAAGTGCTGGGATTACAGGCGGGTGCCACCACGCCCAGTCTCAGTCACCATTCCAGCGTATGGCACACCGGGGATCGAACCCCGGTCCCTGAGCCTATCTAAGTAGGTGCTTTAATCCACTGAGCTATCTGGCCAGCCCTTGTATTTTTAACAGCCAGACATAGTCAGAAAACACTCTTTTCTCTGAAATTAATTGTAAAACTAAGAGACTCCACAATAGAATTGCTGACCACTGAGGATACTACAGGAATCACTCTGTGCTGATTTAACTTTGTGTGAAGTTAATCTTAAAATACTATAGGACAGTGATGGCGAAGCTATGGTAAGCATGAAGTACAAGCTGTTTGCATCGCAGAAAGCTCTAAAAGGTTCACCATCACTGCCCTGAGGATTGCAAAAGCCCAGCAACAAGAGATAGCCAAGACTCGGAAAGCCTTGGCTATGCCTGGGTAGTTTTTTTAAAATAATCAAGAGGAAATATTCAACCCAAGCATACAATATGTGAAGCTACTCTCCGGGATTACTGATTTGTCTTTCTTCCTTAACTATAGGTCTCCTGTGAGTGCAGCAGTTGAGGGCTGAGCAGTGGGCACTGCTTTTGCAAAGGGGATAATGGTGGCCCAAGCAGACGACTGGGGCCTCCATTCAAATTCACCAAGCTGGAGAGTGGTCCAGACCTAAAACAAACCTTGGCCACAAGAATGGACAGGCCACGTGACTGCTTGCAAGGATCACATGTGTGGCTCATCAATATTCCACAACTCTTCCTACCTGGCCTTTCTAGGCTATGCTCTTCTGTGTCTTACCTCTTCACCACACAGCTTGTTAACAGATACCAGCAACCTGTCCCTCTGAAACATGCCGTGAGCTGTTTGTAAAGAAGCACACCTCAAGGCTGGGGAGATAGCTCAGTGGTCCAACTGCCTGGCAGGCACAAGGACCAGAGTTTGGTCCCCAGTACCACGCCGGCCCCAGAAACTTGGGTGCACTGCACCAACCCTGAAACCAAGCATGGTGGCACACATCTGTAATCCCAGCACTGGAGAGGCTAAGCCAGGAGGATCTCTACAAGTCCAAGCTGGGTGATATTATTATTAATTAATGATATTATTATTAATTGTGGGTTGGATGGGGTGGGTGTTAGCATTTCCCTTGCAACCTAACCATGCTCCAGTAACAATAAAAATAAAAAGGTATCAGTGTTTGCTCTTCTGTCATTGAGATTACACAGGAATTTAACTTTCAGGGCCAGGGATACAACTCAGCAGCATGGTGCCTGCCTGGCCAGCATGAGGCTGTGAGTTTGATTCCCAGTACTACAAATAAATAAATAAATAGTTATCTTAAAAAAAAAAAAAAAAAGCAAAGAAACGTAACTTTCCTTCCTCTACTGAAAAAGACTGATCACTGAAACAAATTTAGGGAGGGTTTCATACAAATTCATCATCTCAACTGTCTAATTCTCCCTTATCAAAGTGTGTTTATCCCACGTTCAGTACACAGTTTGCTTAAAGCAAACCACAGTCCATTTAAGGTCCTTGCCCTCTGCACTAGCAATATCATTTGTAAATAGCCTAGAATATTAGTTACCACAATTAGAAACACTACGGAAAATCACACTTCTTTTTTTTTTCTCATTCCCATTTTCACTGATAGAGCAAACAGTAAACTCTGAAGGTCGAGGTCATAGAGTTCATGTTATTAATGCTTCCTGTTAGATTTTAGCTTCATAAAAGTGAAACACAAAAGCAGAAAAAAAATGATTCTTTTCTGGTCACCCACTGAGAAATCTATCTAATTAATTCTAGGTATTTTACCTAAAAATGATAAATCACAAAGCATTTACATTTCTTTTATTATACAACCTCTTAAATCAGGCTTTCTTTTACATTACATTAGCAAATTGTGACTCCCACGATCTTTTAAATTGAAAACTATAAATTGTATAGACATCATTTGGTCTCCACAGCCATAGGTTTATCAGCCCCCAGAAATGTCTTCTATTACTCCAAGCATAACGCATGATGATTGGAGTCCTCTTAACTTACTTCCTAAGTCCAGTTTCTATCATTTATGTCTCCATGAACCAACTCTTCCCAATATGGTCATTTCATCATAATGTAGGTCTTAGTTGCTCCACTAGCTATGACTATGAGCACGTTAACACTGCTGACACTCACCATAAGCTCAGGATACGTAGGCCGTTCTTTGGAATTCTTCTTCAAGCTTAAAAGGAAAAAAAAAAAAAGTAATACAATTACATCTAGAAACCATTTCTCACTAAACTAGGATATTAATACCTACGAAAGACTGACCATAACCAGATTTTTAAAAAGTAATGAAAACATAGGCTTCCTGTCGTGGCTTTCCTTTTCTATTATAAATTATATTGTAAATCAATCTGGGCATAATATAATAAGAAAATAATGGTGTGCATGTGCTTGCTAACATTTGATACTTTACCATGTCTTTTCTGATGTACAGCCACTCTATTTTCAAACATATATCTACTTTCCTTCAAGGCAGCTCTTAATTCCACCTCCACTGGCAAAGAAACTAGCAAGTACTTCTTATAATACATTTTTTATCACTTCACTGTCTTCACCTACTTGGTTCTTCTTGCTTGTAGTTATCTTGAATGTGTAAATTACTGTTATATTCCTAAGCAAGCCTGCCTGAGATAGAAAAAATAAGCCCATGAAGCTTCTAAGGTAACAATTTGTTTACTACATTTTAGTGATAAAAGAGAAAGCCTACCCAGTCAGTGACTCAGCAATTACTCTTCCTAGAAATACTTTGCGGTCATGCTCTACTGTCAGAAAGACTCTGGTCACTTAGCTCTTTGTCCATGCATACATTTGATAATATTTGATACCAGAGGAAATGGCAAAATAACCTGCCAAGCTAAAGAGACCAAACCATGACCCCTGTCATCAACCCACCCTATCTTCTATCCATCCCAGCCTTAAAATGGAAAAAAGAAAAAAATAGTTTATTTGGAGTTGGAAAGATGATTTTTTAAACTATGATTTGAAAGGCAACATGTAGTCTCCAGCACCATGGGACCAAAATTATACATGAATGGAAAAGAACTTTGCCTGGAGTTGAAGGAACCAAAATGTGACTGATCATTAGGATTTACTGGAATTTATGCTAATGGGTCATTTTGAAGAAATGAGACTTTCTATGTGTGACATGGACTCTGCTCCCCCTACATAAGCTGATCAGAATAAGGGGGGCAAAGTACAGAGACATAAGAGAGAGAAGTCATTGAGAGACTTTGAGAACCTATGGTTTCAAACAAAATGAAATGGAAGAAACAAAAGAAACAAAGATTTTTGAACCAAAACAACTTAAAAGGCGCCTACCAGTTTATTCCACGTAACGCTGTGGGTAGAAGAAGCCAAGGAACCTGAGACAGGGTGACAGGTAGGTGTGAGGACAGAAGGCTCAACCTGGAATTGAGGGCAGACCTAGGACCTAGGGACCTCAGTGACCAGACAACCTATGAGAGGAAGTTTCATCTCCACTGAGGATAAAAATAAGAGTGTATTAGATAGAGGAATTAGCGCGTGTCAACGGCAGGCTCATATGGGAATGTGTGATTGAGTGAAATGAATGTGATCTTGTAATTCCCACCTATGGCTCTGCACCCGAGTGTTTGGTTGAAGGTGAATCTCCCCAGGCAACCCTGTATAATGCCTAGAGGCATTCTCCGTTGTATGACTAGAGATAGGTATGCCTGGCATGTAAGATCTACCGGCAGAGGTCAAGGATTTTGCTAAGCCTCCATTTAGACAGCGGGTGGTCCTCCCCAGAAAGAAATAATTTAATCCCAAATGTCATTAGGATAGAGGTTAAAGAACCCTGAGGTGTGTTCTTGCCTCCTGTTCCCTTCTCTGAGATAGATTCACTTCAAAGAAAAGCTGCTTCCCCTGTTACTTCAGCACATGTCCATCACTCCATCTTCCCCCCCCCCACCCCAACTTCCTCCTTTCTACCTTCATCCCTAAAATCAAGACTTTTTCTTAATCCAGGAGCCAGTTCACCCAGCAAGAAGCACAGAGGAAGAAGTATGACCCTTCAGCACTGCTGCTTGGCACATTGATCCGAGTGTAAATAAATGCACACAGAACGTGAAAAGGCCTCCATTTTCAGCTATTGCTCAGAGTCAATCAAAACCCAGAAAATGTTCATCAGTTGAACAACTTAACCCACTAAGACCATAACAAGGAACACAAAGACAACATGAAATGCACACTCGGCAGTCAAGGGGTTGACTGTGGGTGCTTCAATTTGGACAACTGCCTTTAATCTAACATGCGTGCACTGTGCACTCCGGCATGCTTCTCCGTCAACTGTAAGACAGAGGGATGATTCCATGTCAAAGACAAGGGTTAGCCTCAGATGTTAGACCTGCGGCCTCATTTGCTAACCAGGGTCTTTGTAATACTGATGTTTCGCGTGGTATTCAGTACACAGAAAATGATGCTTTCTAGCAGGCAGAAGTGTCCATTTCTAAGGAAAAGTTGATTCTTCCCTGCAGATTGCTTTATCTTTTCATGGTTCACAAAAAAATATTTCCACAACTTTCTTCTAAATCTGTATTTTAAAAATAAGATGAAAATACCCACGTTGATCCATAATGAAATGGTTAAGATTCTGGAAGCTACAGAGACTGCCAGCAACTAAGCTACTTCTTGATTTATGGCCTCTCGGGAGAAGGCTCAAAGTTCACCCCAAGCTCTACTACTAAGTATTGATGAAAAATATTTACACAGCAAAACAAGGCTGCTTATTGAATTAATATAATTGATATAACCAGTCTCCCTATGTTTCAAAATAAAAAAACTTCAAAGCATGTCCTAAGAAAAGCAAAACACCCAGGATAAGGTTGGAGGTGGGGGGGAAAAAAAGCAACTTTTGCATGTTTAATAGGAAGTGCCTAAAATTCAGTATAAAATAACAATGGCAGAGTTCAAAGCAACACCAACTTCCTTTTGGCTGTAAGTCAGAGCTTTGAATTTTCAAGTGGCTTGTCATTTTCAAGTGTGCAATTAGCTAACTGCTCTAATTCTTCTTCCAAACACCACAACACACACTTCTGACCACAGCTGACACTAAAGCACAGCTCTGTGCTGTCTTTTGAGAATTGCTAGCTTCAAGCTTGCACTGACCAGAGGATTTCTGCCTGTTTGAATTCCCCCGATGGTTTCCAAGAAGGGCTGTTGGCTGCATCCATGGAATAAAAATACAGTGGGCACCGCAAGCCACACATTTGTCTAAAGCTAAGTAAATATACAGTGTCTCTTTTTTACTGTCCTTCAAGAACAAACAAGAGGCTGTATTTGACTGCCTCTGTTTTATACTAGTTCCTCTGAGTCAGACAGTATCGACATCTGGAGAGGACGCCAACACTCTCTCCTACGCCAGCAGGCTGGGCAGCTGGGCACTCCGTCTCTGCATTAGGCCTGGAGGAAAAGAAAATCCAGTCTGGCTATTTTAGCAGGGGGCAGTTGATTTACAGGGACTTTCTTTGGTTTACCTATAGGAAGAAGCTTGAGCTTGTCAAGATTCCCTTTTATTTTTTAATAATCTCACTTGTTAATCCTTCTCAGGACGGACTATAGGATTTATGAAGCCCCAAATAAGATCTCTGTGTGTGGCCAACACGACCCGTATTAGGAATTCTTTAAAATCTCAATGCTAAGAAAACTACACAAGATAGGGAAGAAAAAGTATCACTCATAGTCTTATTTGGAAATGAACACAACAAGAATGGGCTTATGAGGAGTCATTGTTTCCTGCATCTTCACCTTCGTGAGAATAAACATAGGCGATGCTCTCCTTTTTCCAGAAAGATGTTTCTCTGATATTTCCGCAAAAGAAATGGAGCAGCAAGAGAGATGAGAGTCTGTGCTCTGAAGCCACCCTTGGCTGTGAGGGGACAGTGAAGTCTGTGAGTGTTTAATGCCATGACTTCCTGCCGCCTAAGAGAAAGCAGCCAGTACTGCACCACCAGAGGACAGAGACTCCCAAGCAGAGAGCGGTGCTCAGCGACACTGACAAGCACTCCCAGGGGACGGGTTCCACAGAGAAGCACAAACCCCCAGCAGCTTGCCTGCCTGTGCACGCGTCCTTCCTCTAAGCCTACAGACAGAGCAGCAGATAAGTACATAGGTATGTGTACTGCAAACCTTGATACTAAGTATTTCACTTTCTAAAACTGCAGCTCTCTTTCCCCACTTATCACCAACAACTAGGGCATTGGGAGGATTCCTGAAAGATCTTAGCCTGCGTCATGAAGCAAGACACAGAAAATCATCCAAAGCGGGGCTCTGTCTAAAAATGCATCTCAACATTGTAGTTTTGGACAAGGCGAAACCGAAATATAACACGAAGGTGTAAATTCTTAAAACTTTGTCACAGTTAAAGATGCAGGACCGTCAATTCTCCTCAAGATTCTCCCCAGCGTGCATCCAATCTTGTCACTTTGTGGAGCAGGTGTGGAGCCCTCTTTCAAGAATGTCTTCTAGAGGTGTGATCAAAACTATGGAGAATGCTCCTGTCACGTGTCGTGAAGGAAAATAAACTGGCAAAAAAAACATTACACTGCGTCCTTATGCATCAGATGTGGTGCCCTATTATTTCTGCCCCTTCCCTGATGTCAAAATGACCATGAAAGTTAAAGGTTTGAAATCGCTGAAGCAGCCATGATAGCCCAAGTGAAGACATGCAGGAGAGGCCCGGAACCACTTCAGAAAATGCCAAGAACAGCGGCAAGCTGGTGCTCAAAATGAGGGGGTTCTTCTCCATGTGTCCTTTCCTGTAATGCATTTTTAACATTCACCCTATATTGAGGTCACGTCTCAAAAAGGGCAGTGGGAAAAAGTAGCGAATAAAGAGCTTCTGGGATACGCTGCTCTTCATCAGTGAGCAAGCGTTCTTTGGTCACGACCACTTTTTCCTTCTTTCCACTACATGCTAGACCAAATTCAAAGCTTTCAGTAGTGAGATGAAGACTCGAACTAGACTGCTCCAGGATGGGAGGTAGGTACCCATGTGTCAATGTATATGAAAAATGAAACTGTGTCAATATAGACCCAAGTCAGTCATAAGATCTAAAAAACAAAAAAGTATACATTTATTTATTTATTTTTTTAAATTTTAGGAAAGAGTCTACAGGGTGTTGGGGGTCTCACTATTAGATTGGACGCATAGTGAACTGCCTGTTTACAGCCTCCCAAGAGCTGGGATTACAGGTGTGCACCCCATACTCAGTCTCAATTGCTGTCTCAGTGCACCCCTGGGGGCGGAGCCAGCCCGGCAGGGATTGGACCTCAGCAGGCCCTTGCATCTGCTTGCAGGTGCTTTAATCTGCTGAGCTATTTGGCTGGCCCTTTTTTAAAATTTATTTATTAATTCTTTTATTTATTTGTAAAAACAAATAAAAATAAAAGTGCAACCTTCAGCCTAGTTGGCTTCAGGATAAGCCAACAGCACCTAAGAGTTTAATGCACATCCCAAAGGGTTATCAAAGAAAAGATATTGGTGATTTATGGCAGGCAAAATCGTTCTTGTTCTGGGCCCCGAAACAAGGGAGGCTGCCCTTCCTGGAGTCCAACCAAGGATCAGAAGGAGAACGTACAAAATTCAGAAGTGATCTTCCTCTGCTTATTTCCAGTTCCCAGCCCAAAAGAAGTGACTCACTCAGGTATAAAACTGACAATGTCAAGTATCAGATTCTACCAGTGATAATACGGAAAGTTTGAATAAAACTATAGCCTTTAATGGTGCCTAAGCTGAAGTCATTTTTTTAAGCTTTTTTTTTTTTTTTTTTTTTTTTTGTATTTGATAAATTGGTTTGGGGGCATTGTTGTTGTTTTTTGTTGTTGTTGTTGTTGTTGTTGTTGTTGTTTTGTAGTGCCAGGGACTGAACTTGGGACCTTGTACCAGCTAGGCAGGCCTTTATGCCACTGAAGTCTTTTTTTTTTTTTTTTTTTGGGTAGAACCAGGGATTGAACTCAGACCCTTGCGCTTGCCAAGGAAGCCCTTATTCCGCTGAGCCATCTCACCAGTCCCTTGATTCCTGAAGTCATTTTTAATAAACCCTATAAGCAAGATAAACAGACTTCCTGAATGCGGGAATGACATCACAACAAAGACAGAGACTAAAACACATTCCACTGCTCAGATATTTAAATAAGTGAACTCTAGTAGCTGGGCTAAAACTGAGAAAAGGTGGAGATCCTAGAGGGACAGTGTGAAGCCACAGTGCATCTGAAAGCAGGACAGTAGGCATAGTGTGGGCTCTATAGAAGGAGTGATAACAGAATCTGGGATTTCTACGCACAATGCATACACTAAAAGGAGGGCCAGCCAAATAGCTCAGTGGATTAAAGCACCTGCAAGCAGGCACAGGGGCCAGGAGTTCGATCCCTGGGCCTGCTGTGCTGGCCCCGTCCCCGGGGGCATTGGGACAGCAACTGAGACTGTGCGTGGTGGCGCACGCCTGTAATCCCAGCTCTTGGGAGGCTGTAAACAGGCAGATCACTCTGAATCCAATCTAGTAGTGAGACCCTTAACACCCTGTAGACCCTTCCCTAAAATATAAATAAATAAATAAATAAATAAATAAATAAATAAATAGAGCTAGGCCAGGCATGGTGACACACACCTGTAATCCCAGCACTCAGGAGCCTGAGGCAGGAGGGTCACTTGTGAATTTGAGAGCAGCCCGGGCTTCATACTGAGTGCAAGGTGGCCAGAACTACATGGAAACCCTAGCTCAAAAAATTGTTCTTTTCTTCTCAAAGGTTGTTGTTTTCATTTTGTGGTATTTGTTTGTTTGTTTTTGTGGAAGGAACTCAATCCAGGGCCTTGCACACGCTATTCGGGTGTTCTACTTCTCCCCTAGCTCCGATGTCTGCATTTTTACAATTCTTGTAAAATATTTCAAGGCTCTGATACTTAGGCAAAATTTCAAGTAAGTGAAAAATGTATTGGAAAAAAAATAGAGTAATTGAATAAATTTTTTGAAACAAACTGCAGAAGATCAGAGGCATCCTGAACAGTCAGCATCAGATCTGTCGCTCTTCTGTCTAGACCTGCGCTCTCAGGAGGCATGTTAAGAGAGCTCTAGGAGTATAGTAGGAGGACTTGAGAAGATTTGAAAACCAGTGAAGTTCTGGCCTCTGCTTGAACCAGTTGCATTGAAATCTCTCGGGAGTGAGGGTGAGAGGTCTCCTCAGGAACAGCATGTTTGCAGGGATGCTGGAGATTTACAAGGAGCAGCCAGATCTGAGAACACTGGACTTGGATTAAACCTGTGATTCACGATAAGAAACTTCCCTTTCTCAAAAAATTTTACTGAAGTATCTTGAAAGACTCAGAGCTCTTGGAAGAGGGAAACAAGACAAGCGGGAGGAGGAAGGAAGACACAGAGAGGAAGACACCTAGAAGAGACCGCCTCAGTGAGATCCTTCCCAGTTGCCACCCCTCCTGAGAACTGCTGGTCGGAAGTTTCCAAGATGACTTCTCCCCCTTTGCCTATGTGGCCTTGAAACATCAGCATGTAAGACAAAAGGTGTTGAATTACGCAACAACCAAAATGGGAGTCCTGGAGTCCAGCAGCCAAGGAAGTCAGGGACCCACTTCAGCACAGCAGATGTAAAACAGATGCAGGGGACACAACTCAAGATCCCAGGAGATGTGTATTTTAGAGACACTCAGTAACACTGCAGTAAAGCTTATCGCCATAGCTTCTCACTGGCCATTCGGCCCAAAACAAAACAAGCAAACACCAACAAAACCTCACGGTGGGACAGCACTCTAATTCACTAGGAAAAAGCACCAGGGCTGAGAAGGAGCTCAAGACAAATAAAAAAGTCCAGGTGGAATCCGCGTCCTAGCAGCAGAGTGCAGGTCCTAGCCAGGGGTGGACCACTTGTCCATCCAAGCTGCATTCAGAAAACATTGTCCATCCAAACTATATTCAGAAAATACATCCAGAGTGTGTGCAGGCCAAAGAGCTCTACGCCCACAGGTAGGTGGCACCATAGCCGCTTCGTGTGCCGAGAAGCCTTTGGAGCCCCAAGCCCTTCCAAAGCCGTGAGCAGCCAGAGCGGCTGCCCTCCGAGCACACAGCGGGGCCGGCTCCAGCTCTGACTCCTCCTTCCTCCCAGTAGTGAGGGAGTCTTGCAGGACACCCAGATGAAATAGCTCAGCCCATTTTGTGACTCACACTTGGCATCTCTTTCCACCAGTGCTTGCAACAGTCACCGCTACCAGATATGCCAACCCTCGTGACCCCAATGCGGTCAGATGCTACCTCATTGTTGGGGAAACCCCACACTCTCGTCAACCGTCCTTGAGGAGCTTTGGGATTCCTTTTTCTTTTCTTTTGAGACAGGGTCTCACTATGCAGTGCAGGCTGGCCTAGGACTCACTTATGTAGCCCAGGCTGGCCTCAAACTCACAGCACACCTCCCACCTCAGCCTCCCAAGTACCAAGATTAGGAGGTGTGCTGCCACACTTGGGCAGCACCCTAGCAACTCTCAAAAACCAAAGTCAACCACCTCACTGTGTCTGTGAATCGCTGCCTACTCCAGACACTCTCTTCCCAGTCCCTGTCATTGCCTATGATGCCCCCTTGGGCAGGAGCATCTGCAGTCCTCAAGTGCTCTGGAGACGCCAAGGTCTTGCAAGGGTTTCTGGCACCTAACTCGCATTCTTGATCTCCTCGCCCGCTTCTCACCCAGAGAAATCCTCTAGGTCTTTTCCCCAAGGATGGGGATTTCTGTTTTGAAAAGCTTTCCTCCCCTGATTCCTTTTTGTGGGGACGACACCAGAGAAGTCTATCTTGATGCCTTTCCTGAGCTCCCCAAATACCCTGCACGCACCTCCATCCCTGGAGAGATTGCCTTGTCGCATCACTGTATGCTAGTAACCAATTTGGGCAATGCCCCTCCATGACTTGGACCCCAGAGACGGTGACACTACGGTCACACCCCCTGCCATCACGGCGCGGGCTGTAACCGCTCTCAGGATGAATGAGCGCTTGCGTCATGGGTGAGGCCCCGCGGAGGGAACGCAAGCGCATGCATCCCCTCCCTTGGCACGTGGGCACGGGACAGGGCGCCGTCTTACCACTGTGAGGTAAAGTCGACGAACTCTGCGGAGAACTTGTCTGCCGGGAGTTGTGGCGACGGCTCCTCCACCACCTGCTTGAGCTGCTGGAAGGGCGTCCCCCAGGAATCGTAGGGAAACCGAAGGATGGCCAGCTCAATCTGGACGGGAGAGACGCGCAAGCGACATTTTAATTAATTAAAATTAATCATGTATTTAGTACAGGGTCTCACTACACAGATCGGACTCGTAGCGATCCTCCTGTTTTCAGCCTCCTAAACGCTGGGATTACAGGCGCGTGCCACCACGCCCAGTCTCAATCGCCCTCTCAGCTTGCCCCCGAGTCTGCCTAAGCAGGCAGCTTAATCCGCTGAGCTACCTGGCCGGCCCGTGCAAGCAACGTTTTAAACAAGGCTGACTTCCACAGTCAGCTGCGCCTGTCTCATTCTAGAAGAACCAGGGGGAAGTACAAAGCTGACGTCCCTGTGTTACGCGAGGACACAAAAGAACCATCGTCTAGACATTTTCCCCAAACGGCTACTGCTAGTGGATTTTAAATATTATCTTACTAAAGATAGTCATTAAAACCTATCTGAAACCCATCCCCTCACTGAAACCCAGCGTGCTCCTTCATAAAAAAACCGCCAGCCAACGGGATCCCGCTTCACGCAGGATGCACGGCAGCCAGGTTTGAACAGGTTGGCCTGAGAAAGAACTCCGAGCCTGATGCTTGCAGAGATGTGCCTCTGCTGCCCCCTGCGGGCCACTCGCCGAGATGGAAAATTGGGAGGCAACGTAGCCCAGGGCTTGAGCGAAGGCCACCTGGCTGTCACAGGACACGTGTTTTCCGGACAGGGACATGAAGTGACACAGTCCGCTGCTGTGCCTGAGAAGGAGACAGAACTACGGCAGAATTTCTAGATCCAGGCTGGCGAGATAGCTCAGCAGTCTAAAGCGCCTGATGGGCAAGCTTAGGCAGATGCAGGGAACCTCGATTGCATCCCCAGCACCACATGCCGCCCCAGCCCCGCCCTCAGGGTGGGCTGAGGCTGCCAAAAATACATATATAAATAAATAAATAAATAAATAAATAAATAAATAAATAAATAAATAAATTCCAGATCCTAGTAATACAATGAAATTTATGATCATCAGAATTAGGAATCACTGGAGGGCTGGGGACACAGTTCAATGGTCTAGGCGCCTGCCTGGCAAGCGCAAGGACCCAGGTTTGATCCCCACAACCACATGCCATGGCTGGCCCTGGAACCCTGGGAGCCCCGAGCTGGCTAGCAAAACTGGGCGTGGTGCCGCAGGCCTGTAATCCCAGCACTGGGGAGGCTAAAACAGGCGGACCACTAGGAGGCCCAGCTGCACAGCGAGACCCTGTACCAAATAAATAAATAAAAGATTAAAAAGACATTTTTTTTAAAAAAAAGTAGGAATCACTAGTCATATACCTGTGGAAGCAGTGCCTAAGGAAATCATCCTATTTTTTTATCCTATCTCTAGGATATACTTTACCTCGGCATCCAAGACTTCCATAATAAAAACATCCCGGGAAACACACGGTGCGCCCTGGACAACGCCACCCCTTCGGGCACATGAGCACTCTGGGACCGCTTAAGCGTCTTGTATTCACTAGAACAACTTAATCTAAAGTATAAAGCATTTAGACAGACCCTCTCGGAAGGGATGTGTGTATAACGGGTCAAAACCAAAAGAGGCATTGTTGGGTACACATGGTCTACCTTATGCTGGCACTTCGGACAGGAGCTCCCCCTAGATTAGGGCCGTCAGATAATCCATGGGACTAGACCTGCTACTTAAGGGCACATCAGCAGTGAGCAGAAGGGGAGGAAAAGCAACGCTGGTTTTCCCAATTCAAATTCAACGTTTCTACTATTCATACAGAAAATAATGCTCACTCAAACATCAGCTGCCATCTCAGGCAGGAAGGGATTCCCAAGACTATCAGCATGGGGGACATTTGTTCTTTGGTCCCAAAGCCCACCATATTCTAGCTGCATGGTTAGAACCTCAGGGGCAATAGGATTTTTTTTTTTTTTCGGTACTGGGGATTGAACTCAGGAACCTGTGCTTGCCAGGCAAGCGCTTATTCCACTGAGCTATGTCCCCAAGCCCCCGATAGGATTCTCATACTCTACCATCGTGATGCCCAGACTCCAGATGTCCGACTTCACGCTGTATCCCTTCTGGTTGAGCTCTGGGTTTATTCTTTCAGGCTGGAAAGGAGACAGACAACTGAGGAAATGGAGACACAATGGAGATGACATTTGGAGCTCCATAAAGGCCGAGGTTGGGGACATTACCAGCTGCCAAGTGAGGTGTTTTCATCTGCTAACATGCCTCTCGGGCCAAAAAGACAATATAGCTACAATAAATAGCAGCATTACCCTGAGGGTTGTTCTTTGTCTTCTAGGATCATCTTCTGTTAGGGACAGTAAAGGCTTGAGTTCCATTCACCACAAATTTTAATTCTGTGGTGAAGAAGCAAGAATATGCACCTTATAAAGCTACTCTAGCTATCTAAAATTATCCTTGATAAAAACACCAACAGTCCAAGCCTGGTAAAAACGACCTGAAAGGTTGTTACTAGGCTACCATCTGATAGTCCTGGAACAGCGTGGCTTTCAGCTAAACATCGATAGGAAGCTTTTCCTTTCCAAACATGAAAATCCATTTCCAAATAAAATGTGTTGCAAGCTGCAAGTCCCCAAGGTCTCTGCTAATGACAATGAATCTTCAGAGCTGTGAGGTTCCCTGGGGTCTAACTCAACCACCTTGCGTAGGTAATTTACACTCTGTTTACTTTTCTCCCTTGACTAACGCTCACTTGCAACTCAGGGTAGAGAAGTTATGCAGGCTTCATGCTTCGTTGTTGTTGCTTGTATTTTTTAGGGGAGGGTCTGCAGGGTGTTCAGGGTCTCACTACTAGACTGGACTCATAGTGATCCACCTGATTTCAGCCTCCCAAGAGCTGGGATTACAGGCGTGCGCCACCATGCCCAGTCTCAATAGCTGTCTCAGCGTGCCATGCGGGCAGGGCCGGCACAGCAGTGTGCTTTACTCTTAGGTATATTTTCAAGCAAAATATCCCTTTTGCTTGAGTTTTTTTAAAAGCACATATTCTGGGTTGGCGAGATAGTCTAGTGGACTAAGTGCCTGCTCAGGCAAGCTCAGGGACTGGGGTTCGATTCCTCAGCATCATATGTTCTGCTGGTCCTGCCCCGGGGTGCACTGAGCCGCCACCAAGATCGAGACTGGGCGTGGTGGCACAGGGCTGTAATCCCAGCACTGGGGAGAGGCTGAAAACAGAGGGATCACCACGAGTCCGAGCTGTATAGTGAGACTCTGTCCCAAGTACATAATAAAACTCTTTAAAAATTGTTAAAAACATATGCTATGAATGTTTCCAACACCCAAACTCCACATATGGAAATCTAATCACTATATGGCCATAATCAGAAGTGGAGTCTTTATCCAGTGAGCAGGGTGCAGCCCTTTGGAACAGGGTGACTGACTTTATAAAAGAGTCCCTAGAGAGATGTCCTACCCTCCCACCACATGTGACGCAACAAGAATGAACTATGTAAGAACCTAGAGAAATGAGCCCTCAACACGAGGCACTGAATCTGTCCAGGGTTGACCTTGGCCTTCCCAGCTTCCTAAACCCCAAAGAACTAAAATTCTGTTACTTATAAGCTATATATGTATATCAACCCAAAGGAACAAAACAAAACAAAAAAAAAAAAAAATACATGAACCAAGAGTCTACGGATCTCAGGCAGGAAATACATAAGAGTACAAGGTGCTGCGGAGTATTTTCTGAAGTCTTAGGCACACTCCAACTTTCCACCTGCACCTGTCTACTGCTTCTTTCCCACCCGGGCTTAAAAGGCAGCTGCCTCTGAGAAGCCACCCCGGCTGCTGTACTCACGGCCATGTATGGTTTGCAACCTGCATCAATCGTTTTAGCAACAGAGTCCACCAGGTAGCCGCTGATTCCAAAATCACACATCTTCACTTGGCCCAGGGTATTAATCAGCACATTCGAGGGCTTGACATCTGAAAGGAAGTCCAACCGGGGTCCTGTCATTCCAGCCTGCTCTGTAGGTCCACTTCTCTGCCACCAGAGGGCCTGAGAGCTCCATGTGTCCTGCACCTCGCTTTCCCCAAGCTGCCCTGTGCGAAGCAACCAAGCTCTTTGATTCCCAGTTACTTACTGCCTACTGCTTTCAACTGAAATTTTCTCCTTTGTGTTTTCTCTGCACCCCGTGGGACTGTGAATCTTCAAATGAAAAGCACTGTGTTCTCTACCCATGCAATCACCTTCGTGGCTACCAAATACATAGGATGACTTTATTGAGTTATATGCCCACTTCAAAATGATGACCCATTTATTGCCTATTTAATGTGGAAGTAAGTGATGGAAGAGGAAGGGCCGGCAAGGTAGCTCAGTGGACTAAACACCTGCTTAGGCAAGTGCAGAGACTGGAGTTCGATCCCCGCACCACATGCCATGCTGGCTCTGCCCATGGGGCACACTGAGTCAGCCACAGGAGACCAGGCATGGTGGCACATGCCTTGTAATACCAGGGCTGGGAAGCTTGAAAACAAGAGGATCACTACAATTCAAGCTGTGTAGTAAGACCCTGCACAAAATACATTTTTTAAAAAGGGACCAAGAGAAAAAGAGAGGGAGAGAAACAAAAGAAGAATCAAAAGGCATCAAAACAGCAAGCTTTAATGCCAGCCTCTACCAGAGAGACATCAGCAGTTACCATGATGTAATGTATTATATATAAACACAAGGACACAAGACCATAAAGCAGGTCATAGAAGAAGGGGCATTAATATGCAGATTTTAGAACAACCATGAGGACTCAAATGATGGCACCCAGCTACCCACGTGCCCCAAAAGATACAGCACCATCATCTCTGGATAGTGGAATTACAGATTGTGTTTTCCCTTTGTAACAGTCTTTTCAAAGACATGGGGTAAGAAGATAAAAGCTAACCTAAGAGCTCCACAAATCATCCTTTAAAGATTTTCTCTTAAACTTCTTGTTACAACTGTTATCTTGCTGATTTGCATGCATGCCATCTATTCTTCAAGAATTCAATGTTTCATACTTCCAAATAAATCTTTTTTTAAATAAGTTGCACATCGGTAAGAATTTCATATTCTTTTCATCCATTACACTCCGTCTCGCTTTCCTAACCTCATCTCCCACCCACTCATTTCTCCAATGTTTCTTATGACCAACTAATATTGATAATCCTACATATAATGCACAAGGCATTTTACACTACATCCAGACTAAAAAAAAAAAATGAGAATTACCCACAACACAACAACCTACTAGAAATCAACACTTTGTATTAGTTGCCTCAAAGCATTGGCCAGTGGATCTCTTCTACAAAGCTTTTCCTGGCTATGATCTCTGAGTATATTTGATTCTTTATTTTGTATTCTCTCTACACTACTTCCACATTTGGTACTTTCATATTTCTTTTTTTTTTTTTTTTTTTTTTTGGAATTTAGGGAAGGGCCTACAGGTAGTCAGGGTCCCACTACTAGATCAGACTCCTAGTGACCCGCCTGTTTACATCCTCCCAAGAGCTGGGATTACAGGCAAGTGCCACCACGCCCAGTCTCAATTGCTGTCTCAGCAGGCCCTGGGGGCAGGGCTGGCATGGCAGGCCTAGGGATTGAAACATCAGCCCCTGCATCTACCTAAGTAGGCGCTTTAATCCACTGAGCTATTTGACCAGCCCCAGTACTTTCTTCTTTCTCTTTTTTTTTTTTTTTTTTTTGGTACCGGGGATTGAACTCAGGACCCTTTGCTTGCTAGGCAAGCACTTATTCTACTGAGCTATCTCCCTGGTCCCAGTACTTTCATATTTCTAAGGGTATTTTTTTTCATAGTTTTTATATATCTCTCTTATTTCCCTATAAAGAATCCCTATAGTTTTTTTTTTTTTTTTCCAGTACCAGGGATTGAACTCAGGACCTTGTGCTTGCCAGGCAAATGCATATCCTACTGAGCTATCTCCCTGGCCCTATAAAATTCTAATAAGAACAATTTTCTTAGATAACATCACTGGACATCTATTAAGACACTATATTCAAAATTATTTAAAAGTGATGATAAGAGATGCCTGGTTGGAGGAATTAATGGACTTACAGGAGGATGAAGGAGTGGATGAACAGATAACAGACCAAGAATAAGAAAGGGGTGGAGGGGAAAAGGAGACAGCAAATTGTTCTCTGCAGCTTCCTGCAGTAGCAAAGGGCTTTGCCTCATTCGAAAGTTCTCCACACTTCAATGTTCGAAAGAATCACCCGGGGATCTTGTTAAAATGTAGCTTTGATTTATTTAAGGATTATGCTCTTCTAACAAGCTCCTGGATGACGGCCAACTCAAGATGTATTTTTATTATAGCCTCTAAAACCATCAGTATCAACCCACTGCTGTGTTTGGTAACAAGCATTTTATATTGAAGTTAGGTTAGGTCATATAAAGCCCATTTCTTCTTATGTCCTCAGCCAAGATAAAGAAGAGCTACACTTTGGAGCTGTGTGTGTGTGTGTGTGTGTGTGTGTGTGTGTGTGTACTCAGGGCATGGAGCTACAAACCCAGCCATATTTTTGATGTTTGTTTGTGTGTGATAGGGACTCGCCAAGTCATTACGCTGCTCAGACTGGGCTCAGAGTTATGCTGCTCCTGCCTCAGCTTCCCAGAGTGCTGGAATTACAGGCCTGCACCAGCAGGCCTGGCCAGTTTAAATCTTAAGTGTACCACAAAGGCAGCTTGGCGCGCCGGGGATGTGATGGAAACATTCAGATGTGGGGCCAAGCAAGCATATTAGGTCACTGAAAGCCTGTCCTTCAGGGCAACTGGGGGATCCTGGTCTCTCCCTCTGTCTGGCATCCCCTGTGATTAGGTGAACAGGCTTCCTCTGCCATGCGCTCCTAGTCCCACAGGCCCAAAAGCAGCAGGGCCAATGGACCATGGACTGAACCTGACAAAACTGTGAGAATAAGCCTTTCTTCTTTAAAAGTTGATTATCTCAGATTTTTTTTTTTTTTTACTATAGCAATGTTAACACAGCTCTTTATGTAGTTGCTACTCAGTCCCAAAGGAAAGCCCCTGAGTTCTCGCACTTGGCTCATTTCCATCTATTTCCAATATTTCCATTTCCGTCTATGCAGGGGAGGGAAGGTGAGGAAGGGAGTCTCTGGGCCAAAGAAATTAACTTATAAAAAGCTGCAACCATGGGTGCTTACCCCGATGAATGACAGAGAGCTTACTGTGTAAGTGTTCTAACGCTTTTACAATCTGTAAGGAAAAAAAAAAAAGTAGATTTATTCACTGCCATCACTGAAAAGAAATTGAATGTGACGTATATTCAGGTTTCTTATCCCAAGTTTAAGGCCACATGGTAAGGTATTTTTTCAGAGTTGAGGTTCTTATCCAGGTAGATAACACTGGAAGTTGCCCAAACTCATCTCCACCCATCAGAGAGGACAATATCTTAGAGCAGAGACGATGTCCTGTTCATCTGTCTTGTTTCTGTTTGGCCTCAAGAATTATTTTTCTCTTCGCTCTCCTGAACCTCAGGAGACATGAAGCTAGCAGTCCTTCTTATTTTATTTCTCTTGGTTTCTGTTATGCCTGTTAGTCTTAAGAAATTATTTGAAAAAATCTACAAATCAAAATTGAAATGCAGAATTGACATCAGACTACAGATGCTGGGAATGCAGTCATTGAAGATGAGTGAACTGCTTAAACACATTAAGGTAGAATCTATCCAAACAAGTCAGTGGAAGCATCCACCACACAGGGCTCAGGAGAAAATGGTACTTATACATCCACCCCACAGTGTACTCTTCTGTTCAACAGTTATATGCTGGACAGTAGATACAATGCAAAGAGCATCTCTTCTTACTAGGGATGCACAGACATGACAGCAAGAATCCCCACATTTTCCTTGTAGACACATCATATACTCACAGAAACTGCTATCTTCCCTAGGATATCCTCTGGAATTGTTTGGCCTTTGTCAATGACTTGTTTGTAGAATTTATCTAGGGAGGTATCCATGAGCTCCATGCAGATCCATACATCTCCCTGGAGATCAATCAGTTCAAGGATCAATAAAGAGGTTGGAAAAGAGAGACAGAATACCCCGTCACCCATCCTGAAGAACTATCTCATGAGTTTTGCAAGGAAATACATAGCTTTCCTTGGAGATCGCAAAGGAATCGATCAATGAGTGCAATTATCTCCAAAGAGCAAGCCTTCGGTTATTGTTCTCCTTGGGCTCTGCGCCAGAGGGTCACCTACCTCCCGGAAAAGGGCACCATAGAATGTGACAGTGAATGGACAGTCTACTGTTCTCATGGAGACATCCAAGTCCATCAACAGCCTTTTCTGCTCCTGGCTATTCACAGTGGCCCGGATCCGCTGAATGAGAAAGCACAAGAAACGCATGGATGAGTCTGCCAATGAGGCCGGGGCTTCAAGGAGCGCCATCCTGCGCACAAGGCAAAAATTCACAGCCACTAGTACCTTCCACAAGTCAGCACTACAAGGGGGACTGAAAGATACAGTGAATAAATAAATATAATTATTATTACAATAAAGGACATCCTGCCAAACAGTGAAAGGATAAGTACATCCAACGCAGGGAGACATATTTTGAGTCTTCTGAGGATTCATGGCAATGTGTCTTTTACTGTAATTGTTTTTCAAATGTAAGCATTAAATTTTATTGATTTCATTGATTAAATACTTACAGCACTTTCTGTCAAATGAAAACACTACAGAGCATCCTCATCCACCTTGCAGTGACTGGATCTGGCACTGGGTGGCATCCGACTCTTACTCAAAGTCAACATGACCATGAAATGTTTTTAATTGATTCAGGCATCAAGGCAGCTAGAACAATGCAACTAAAGACACTCACGAAAGAGGACTTTCAGAACTGCTTCAGAAAGGGGCACGAGCAATGGGATAAGTGTGTTTGGAGTGGGGGGTGTGTATGAAGGTGACCAACAGCAATGTGTCTTCTACTGTAAGTTTTAAACATGTTAAATAACCATCATATTGTTGGATCCCACTTGATAGTACCAAATTTAAAATTAGAAAGACTATGGTCATCTGATGTTCTGAATAGCCCCTGGTAAGAAGAAAACAATAATTTTCTTTTAGAGAGTGGGGAAATGTTTGGGAATGTATTTCCAAGGCAAAAACAAAGTGTGGTTTCCTGTACTATACCTGCTCAGGGCAAAGAATTCACAGTATTAAAGACTTTGCTGTTTATTTGAAGTCTTAAGGGGAAAAAGCCAGCAACCTCTCTTTAGGAGCACGTTGGACTACACTGACTACAGTCAGCCCTGTGTATCCCTGGGTTTTATTTCCAGAAATTGTCCCTCCTCTGCAGAGAGCAAAATCCACAGACTCTCAAAAGGCACATAATACGACCTTGCATTTGCACATAATTTATGCACTATCACCCCATAAACTTTAAATCAAGTCACTTCTAGCATGCATATGCAACACAATGCAAATGCAGCAGAAATACTTGTGATGCTATACTGTTTAATGATGAAAAGAACACCTGGTACATATTCAAGATAATTCTTTTTCAAATATCTTGATCCACTGCTGGTTGGGTCTACAGATGTGGAGCCCACAGTAAGGGACACCAATGGTATTTTGAAGAAATAGCAACTACAACAAAACTGGTACAGCTGTAGGACATAGAAGGAAACAAACTGGAAAACCATTTATTTCTACTGAGTATTTCTGCCTGAAGCAAAGCCTGTCCCAGTGGCAAATACAACCTTCCAGAGAAGCTACTATGTCATTAACTGATGATGCCTCATTAGAAATATCCTACAAACATACAGTGTCACCATTAGTAGAACCAACCGGAAGCTCATTTATTTATTTTTGCTACCTGGGATCAAACTCAGGACCTTGTGCTTGCCAGGGCATTGTTTAAGCCTCATGAACTATCTCCCTGACCTTCAGACTGGAATATATACAAGGGAAGAGAAAGAGACCTCCAGTCCCCAAGAACAAAAGGATCTAACTCTTCCAGTCATTCCAGTCAAGGGCCCTGACCTGCTAACGCTCCTAAAGATGTTCATTTTTTACAAGCCTTGTATCTACTTGAGAAATGCAAACTGATGCCAGATTTCTGACCACAGGTCGAAGACCTTAAATTTTCCGTGGATGCCTCCTTTTTCCAGAACAGAAACAACTGTCTCTCTCAGTTCTGGCTTCTTGATTTTCAGGGAGAATTATTCCTACATGACCATAGCCAAAAGGCTGAGAGGCAATTCAGGGAAAATAGTAACAAAAAATACATAGACAACATCACTTGGTACTAATGAAAAAATTTTACCTTAACCCAATAGTGGATGAACTTTTCAAAAGTATTAATTCTTTTAAGTGCAACGAAGACATCATAGTTGAAAAAAAAAAAAAAAAAAAAAAAGAAAGAAAGAAAGAAAGAAAGAAAGAAAGAAAGAAAGAAAGAAAGAAAGAAAATAGGTGGATAGGACTTAGTTAAAAAGCCAATACAAAGCCAGGCATGCTTGCACAGATTTGCAATTAGCACTATGGGAGACTGAGACAGGAGGAGGGCAAGTTCAAGCCCAACCTGGGCAACTTATTGATTTACAGTGATGCTGTATCAAACTTTTTTTAAAAAGGGCTAAAGATGTCTGTAGCTCAGTGCAAAGGTCCTGGTTTCTGCTCTTGGTACCCCTGGGTGCATGAATGAATGAATGAATGAATGAATGAATGAATGAGCAACACCTTCCACAGAAGGCTTTTTCATCTATAGAGAGAAATACTGTTCTCTGCAAATAATCTTTTCTTGTCCACCCTGTTACAGGTTGCTTTGCTTCTGCGAAAAGAGCTGCTTCAGAGCTGAAATCACCAATGTGCACAGCACGTGTAGAAGGCCCCTGGGGACACCGACTCTACCTTCACGGCCATGATCTGTTCACTGGGCACATGCCGCATCTTCTCCACCACGCCGTATGCACCTCGCCCCAGTTCCACGATGGGCTCCAGGTCATCTGCTTTCACCTCAAAGTTCTGCAAGAACAAAAAAGCCACCATGGAATGCAAAAGTGGAATGCATGGGCCCGGGATATATAGCGCAGCGGTTCCGTGCCTACCTGGAAAGCCCAAAGTCCTGAGTTCGAGTTCCGGTACTCAAAACCAAAAAAGTGAAGAGTAAACCGGACACTCTCTTGTCTTTTATCTAATTTTTGCAAATGTTGGAATGACCCTTGATAGGCCACGAGCTTCTCTAGCACATGAAAGCAAGCGCTAACAGCATGAAGCGACAGGAAAAGCTTAGACTCCCATCATACCCACTTGGTTGGCATAGGCGACACACAATGTCACCTCCATCCAGCGTGGTTTTCATGTGGCTCAGCTGAAGCTGGCTACACTGCAGCTTTAGTCACCTTTCTAATACTGACTGCTGGTGTCTAGAGCTATGTGGTATTTGAGAAGTGCCCTCCCATGCTGAGGAGATAGCTCAGAGCTCCAAGCCCCTGCCTGCCAAGCACAAGGACCCAGGTTCGATCCCTGGTACCACATGCTGTGCAGGCCCTTTGCTGTGCCCACCACGAAGACGAAGCATGGTGGCGCAAACCTGTACTCCCAGCGCTAGGGAGGCTGAGACAGGAGGATCACTGAGTCCGAGCTGTGTAGCGCAACCCTGTCCCAAGTAAATACATTTTTTAAAAAAGAAAGAAATGACCCTCCCAAAAGAATCACCGCTTCTCCTCACACCTTTCCCAAGAACCACAGCAGCCTGATGTCAACTGACAACTCAAAACAGCAAAAGCTCTGCAAGCCATTTTGCTGGAATTTCAAGCTTTCCTGACCCATCCCCTAAGAGCACGGTATACGTACAGAAAGGCATTTCGCAGTCAGCCAGAAAGCATACGTGTAACATGGCCAAAGTGTGTCAGTCACCATGACCTTCTCACCTGATTTCCAATAGAAATGCAAGCCTTGGAGTCCAAATCTCTAGGTGGCCTAAGGAAGGTGAAGGGGAAGAGAAGAAGAAACGTGAGACATGCCGTTCGCTGTCCTTCCAAATCCTAAGTGACAGCAGCAGGGTTCCCAAAGAGGAAGGCGAAGCTTAGGAGTTGCATCACACAGCATGACAGTACAAGTACAGTGAAAGTGGAGATCAAACAGCTTTTCAGTTGAAAATACTTCAACTCCTTGAGCCTGCGTTTTCTTCTTTCATGTGGGATATTATATACTACCTTTTGGAGTAAGAGTGTATTAAGTGAGATATTCCAAGGGCATACAGTAAATATCTGCTAACTAGGAGCCACAAGTGTGCAGTTCTGTGAGTAATTATGCTTGAGAAATAAGCCTTTTCTTTCATCTAGGGTCACCACTGTATCCAATGTACCATTTCACCGCTCTTTGTACAACTGTTTTTTAATTTATTTTTAATGTATTTAGGACAGGGTCTACAGGGTCTCACCACGTGCGTTGGACTTGTAGGGATCCTCTTGTCTTCAGCCTCCCAAGTGCTGGGATTACAGGCACACGTCACCATACCCAGTCTCAATCACTGTCTCAGCACTCCCCAGGGGTGGGGCTGGCACAGCAGGCTGGGGATTGAACCCCTGGCCCCTGTGTCTGCCTAAGCAGGTGCTTTAATCTGTTGAGCTATCTGGCCAGCCCTGCAACTGTTTTTTAGAAACAAACAACTCATAAAATTCAGAGGACACAGGAATTCCCAATGTAGTCTCTTCCTTTATAGACAGGCAAAAAGGTCAGAGATGTGAAAGGCTTGTTCCATCGCAAGGATCCTTAGCTTCACCTCAGCGTCCCTTCTTTTCTCTCAGGCTGTCGAATCAAGCCCAGCAATGGTACATGGTGAACCTGCTCTTCCGGGTTCGTCTCCAAAGCCAAATGTTGTTCATTTTTTGTGTCCAGAGTCTCCTTGTGTCTTCCTATTTCTATTATTTCACTAGCCTCTCAGTCAGTTGCAATTTACTTTGGAGAAAGATATTTGTCTGCCTGTGCACCTAATTAGGAGCCTAGTAAGGGTTTTTGTTTATTTATTTTTTTTTTTTTAATAAATGTACCAGGGGCCAGGGAGATGGCTCAGTGGAATAAGCGCTTCCCTGGCAAGCGCAAGGGCCTGAGTTCAATCCCTGGTTCCGCAAAAATAAATAAATAAATAAATAAATAAACCAAGAGTGCTATGGTAAAAGTAACAAATGCCAAGAAATATATTGCTAATGGGATCAAACAAACAGAAGAACTGCAGGCTAAGGACACAGAATTCTGGCGCTGCCCTTTGCAAGGGTGGCCTAACAGTGGCATCTCATCCCGTGGCACAATGGTCTTCAAAATTTTCAAAGGAGGGCCCACCAAATAGCTCAGTGGGTTAAAGCACCTGCAAGCAAGTGCAGAGGCCAGGGGTTCAATCCCCAGGCCTGCCGTGTCAGCCCCGCCCCCAGGGCACACTGAGATGGCAATAGAGACTGGGCAGGTGGTGCACGCCTATAATCCCAGCACTTGGGAGGCTGCAAACAGGCGGGTCACAATGAGTCCAATCTAACAGTGAGACCCTGAACACCCTGTAGACCCTTCCCTAAAATAAAAAAAAAAAAAAAAAAAAAAAAAGGAAAAAGGAAGGAAGGGTAGAGGAAGGGAAGATCAAAAGAAGAGAAAACAAACTCATTTGCTAATGGCAGTGGTTTCCAATGATTACAGTCACACCCCTTCTGTGCAAACAACATGCATACAAGGAGAAAGAAGAAGAAATACAAATGTAGACATAAGCATGAATCGAAGATTTTAATGGTATCTTCCCTTGCCTCAAAATCTCCTTGATATGCATAGAATACTAGAAGTGTCTCCATACTAATTTAAAATAGAGGCCAGGGAGCAAACAACGAGAATAAAACAAAACAAAACATATGCACACGCATATAGACACACACACACACACACACACACACACACACACAGTGACACTCTGGTGCATTACATATTTCTGAGTAGGAAATGTCTTCAGGATTTTCCAGAAGAGTCGAATGGTTTAGACATCTAATTTTTCATTCTTAAAATGTCTCAAGCTGTTTTCTCTTACCCGTCATGATTTGTTTGTACTAATTATGATAATCCTTTTGAAATAAAGATGACTACCACTGAAATATGGGCCTAATATCAATCATTTAAAAGCCTTTTGCACTTCTTCCACACTCTACCCTTTTAAAAATATAGAAGAAGAGGAAAACCACATATATGTGCCATTGCCACTTTTTTGCCAACCAGTGAGGGTACTGGATAAGAACTCTTCCAAATCTCGTATTTCTATATTCCATAACAGTGTCTGGCAAATTATAGCCTAAAAGCACTTTTACAAGTTTAGTTAGTTGTAAAACATCACCAACAAAAGATAAGCAACAGATTCCATCGTGGCCCTGGTACTGCAAAATGCTTTGAGTCAAAATACTTTGGTCATTGAGAAAAGTCTGCTGACTAAACACGCATTACACCTTACACCCCAGCTTAAAAGTAACAGGGTGCCACTTCCCAGATTTAGAAAAATAAATAAATAAAATAAAATCTTTTAAAAGGTTGCGATTTTCTGAATCCACACCGTTGTCAGAAGCACGGAAAATAAAACTCAAGTCGCCTGAATCTCAACCTTGAACTAAACAGGACAAAGAAGAAAATTGGCCAAGCTTCTGAACCTGCTCCAGAGATGGCTACCTGAGAATGAATCCAAGAACTTGCCCCCAATTCCCGACCTTCTCTAACAAAAGTGACTCATCCAGCTGAGCCTCAGGCTTTCGGGTTCGTCAAGTCTGCCAAAAGCATCAAATGATGGAGCCAGCTCTGACAGTTAAGACTGAATCAACTGACACTGTGTTCTTCCTGTCCAGAGCCGGACATCCACATTTACCAGTCCATTAAGACTCTACAGGAGGTGAAAACTGGATGGAGATGTCGGCCAATTGCTCAGTCTTTTAGTTCTTTGGGAAAAGAACCAAACTTATTGTAAAATACTTCCTCTGAAGACCAAAGGTATTCCGAAGGTTACCTAGTCTTAGTGTTTTATATGACCAACCAACTTTGGTTTATTATAGTTATTTAATTCACTGGTCACTACTTTTTTTTCTTTTTCTTTTCAGAACTGGGGATTGAACTCAGGCCCTTATGCTTACCAGGGAAGTGCTTATTCTACTGAGCCATCTCCCCAGCCCCTATTATTAATTTATTTAATGAATTTAATTAAGTGCCTCTTGGGCCAGAAACTGTGCTCAATCATTTACATTAAGTCACTTGTTTAATTTTTGCAACTCTGAGAAGTATTTTTATCTCTACTGTAATGCAAAGAATTGACACTGAAAGAAATTAAATAACTAACAGTCATTCAAAGAGGTGATGACGTTGGAACTCGGAATGGCATCCACTTCTTGAGCACAGAAGGAAAGGGCAGTGCTCCGCTAAGCCATGACCTGTTTGACCACACTCTCACCCAGCCTAATATGTGGCTAAAAATACACACAAGACTCAGAGATCCCGAGTTTATCTGCTAGCCCCGCCACTTCGAAGCTGCCACAATAAACAGCCAGGAGCTACAGTTCACTGAGCAATTACAATGGACCAGGTCCTGAGTCAGACATTTCCTGTGGATTATGACATCTAATCCTCATCATAAGCACATCCTGCTCAGTCCTATTTTTTAGAAGGGGAAGCGAAGGCACAGTGCGAGGAAGTGTGCTTGCCTGACATATCCAGCTGGAGAAGTTTAGTTCCCAAATGTGAGCCTGTAGCCTGGAAGAGATTTAGAACTAGTGACTAGCCAGCAAGTGAAGAGACAGCTCAGAAACCAGAGTCAAAGACACAGCGGCATCAGCCACTCCAAGCGCTCAAGCTGAAGGACCACACACATAGAAGAGTTTGGGTAAAGGAGCTCTGTCCCAGGCTACTGACTGTCCGGGTCGCACAGCCGAAGGTGGTAAGAATCACCAAGCCAACCTCAAAAACTTGCCAAGAGAAATATAAAACGTGGAAACTACTTCTCTACAAGTATACTCTGAAGCCTCAACATTAAAGCAATAATACGAGGAGACTGGGAGCTCAAGAGGCACGGCACACAGCAACAAAGGGATGCTCTCAGCCCCGCAACATTAAGCAGAAAAGCGTACTCAACATACAAAGCCGAAAGCACTTTCAGACTCACACACATTCCTCTTCATTGCTTCT